AAGATTTACAGCCTCAGGAACTCAATACAGGGTGACAGATGACTGACTGGACAGCAGTGGGTAATACTTGTCACAAGGTGCTCTGATGGAATCTATGTTGGGCTATTAATCAAAAGCTCAACAGGTGAATCTACCTCAGGAGTCCCTGAATTAGGCAGTCATGCATTTGATTACTAGAGAAGATGTTGGTGGTTCAAACCCACTAAGAAGTGGGTCAGAAAAAGGCTTAGCAATTTGCTACCAAAAGGTGAAAATTTTTGAAAATACTATGCAGCAGTTCTAATATCACATATGAGGATGCCCTGAGTTGAAAACAACTCAACAGCAACCAACAATACTCACCACGCAAGAGGGCCTGGGGGCATTATCATTAGTATCTCAGTGAAAGGGATCTTCTATGATTGTTTTTATGTGCCCTCCAGTCGCTTGCGACTCATAACGACCCTATGTTCAAGAGATCTAAACCTTGCTCTATCCTGTGCCAACTTCACTGTCTCCAACACACCTACTCCCATTACACCAATCACTGACTCAGTCCACTTCACTGAGGGTCTTTCCTCTCTTGTGCTGTCCCTCCACCCTCCCATACATGATGTCCCTCTCCAAGGACTGGTCCCTCCTTGCAATATGCCCAAAGTATGTCAAACAAAGCTTCAGAATCCTTGCCTCAAAGGAGCAGCCCGGTTTCACCCTCTCTAGGATAAACCTGTTTGTTCTCCTAGCAGTCCAGAGTATATTCAACCCTCTTCTCCAGCACCACAGCTCAAAGGCATCAATTCTTTCTTATCACCCCTAGTCACTGTCCAGCTCTCTGACACATAACATGAAATTGTAAGGACTATGGTCCAGATCAGGCGCGCTTTAGTCTCCAGCCTGACATCGTTGCTCTTCAGTACTCTGGAGAGGTCCCTGACAGCTGACTTTCCCCAATGCAATTGTCTATTTCCTGGCTGCTGGTACCAAGAGTGTTGATTGTGGAACCAAGCAAACTAAAACTGTTAAAAATCTCGATCTCTTCACCCTCCATACTGATGCTGCCAATTAGCCTAGTGATGACAATCTTGGTCTTCTTGATGTTGAGCTTTACTCCATAGTGAAGCTGCAGTCCTTGACCCTCTGCAGCAAGTGCTTCAGGTCTTCCTCGATTTCAGCAAGCAGGGTTGTTGATGAATCTTCCTCCAATCCTGATGCCACATTCCTCCTCGTACAGCCCAGCCTCCAGGATGATCTGTTCTGCATACAGACTGAAAAGGTATGAAGACAGAATACATCTCTGGCAGACACCCTTCCCGATTTTGAACCATGTAGTGTTTCCTTGCTGTGTTCTGATGACTGCCTCTTGGTTCAAGTATAAGTTTCAAATAAGCACAATCAGATGTTCTGAGATTCCCATTCTTCTCAGAGTCAGCCACAGTTTGTTGTGATCCACACAGTCAAAAGCCTTTGCATAATCAATAAAACACAGAGAGACATTCCTCCGGTACTCTCTGCTTTCTGCCAAGATCCATCTAACATTAGCTATAATATCCCTTGTACCACAACCTCTTCTAAACCCAGCCTGGACATATATGGCAGTTCTCTGTTGACATGTTGCTCCAGACGTTTTTGGATAATTTTCAGTAGAATCACGCTTGCAAGTGACATTAATGATATTGTTCGATAATTTCCGTACTCTACCAGATCACCCTTCTTTGGAATGGGAACAGATATTGATCTCTTGCAGTCAGTTGGCCAGGTGGCTTGTCCTCCAGATTTCTTGGTAGCATGGTTTTTAAAAAGACATTTGCAGGCAAAGTTTTCTGAAATAAAAAGGACTGAGAACTTCCAATTCTAAAGGGTAAACTCTAGTCAAGGAAATAGGCAATAGAATTTGATAAGCTTATGATTCATGTTTAAAAAATTTCCTAAAACTAGAATGGTGCATTAGTATTAGAAACACAATTGTGCCATGGTAAATGAAGATGACTGGAGTAGTTAAGCACGATGAGTCAGTGAGGCAAAAAGAGTCTGAGGACAAATATTCAATAATAACTAGCAGTTAAATAAAGACGCACAGAGAAATACAACTGGGGTGAACGTGATACTGTCCCTAAAATAAATGAGGATGTCCATAGTACAGATAAGGAGAAAACAGACTAAAGATGAAGTTATCTCATGGATCATTCTGAACAGCAGAAGAGATGAATAAATGCTTAAGGTTAAGCACAAAATATCATGCAAAGAAAATTCATGTGCAGCACTACTACAGACTGAAAAGGTATGAAGACAGAATACATCTCTGGTGGACACCCTTCCTGATTTTGAACCATGTAGTATTTCCTTGCTGTAAATCTATAAAGAGGATTTTTGCTTCCAAAAGAAAAATGTAATCTCTATAAAGTTCGGATCAGCATGATAATTTAAATAACAGCTATCAAACAACTGTGGAACTAAATAGGAACAAAAGGCCAGGAGTATTAAAGGAGGCTACCTGGCTCTTCTAACTTTGAAGGGCCTGATGCTTTGTGACTTTCCCCTTCATCTTTGACCATTTACTCGACACAGTTTCTCCTTTTAGCAATGCTTTCCAAACTTTATCTTTAATTGTAAGACTGGTTTCACATTTCCAAATATTTATCAAAGGTCATTTCTTAGTGGTAGTCCCACTATCTCCCAAAACAAAAAAAATATTAATTTATCGATAAACCAACTATTACCAACTTCCTACTTCATTGTTTCCACTCATGTTTTTCATCACTCTCTCAATAATCCAGACTCAAAATTTTAGTCATCCGATTCTTCCCCGCTCTGTGGTTCTTTCTCCTTTCCCAGCCTTGCTAATCTAGTTCCATCAATTCTTTCTTTCCTATTCTGGCACCCAAATTTTGGATTTCTGTAATTTCTGTAGGGAGTTCTGGTGGCAGAGACCATCGGGAGCTGCACTGCTAACCCAAAGGCAGAACCTCTCTGTTGGTTCAAATCCATCAGCAAGACAAAGATGGGTACTCTCTTCCCACTTACAGTTTATAAACAGTATAAAGCAAGATTTACAGCATCCCAAAAACCTGCCAGAAGGTCTGCTATGAGCTGGTTCTGACTCAATGGTAATGAGATCATTTCTGAACTAGTACAATGATAAAAAAGTTCCCTGTCTCATTGTATCTCCAGTCTCTCTGACACACTAACTCAATCATGCACAAAACTACTCCAGTCATCTTCATTTACCAAGGCAGTCATTTAATGTATGCAATATACTTAAGAAAATCTAAACTCCTTACTTAGGCTAACAATCAATCCTTCACAGTTTCACACCACTCCATCCCTCCAAATTTACTGTCTCTTATTCCATAAACAAGGAGCACTTGTGGCCAGTGGTAAGGAACTGCGCTGCCCAGCAAAGGCACCAGATTTCAACCCACTAGCAGCTGGGCGGAAGAAAGACTGGCAAGTGCCTCTGAAAACCAGGTGGATGGTGAGCTGAGTCGGCAATGAACAACACTCCCTAAACATGTTATGGTCAATCATGTCTCCATTCCTGTTATCCTCCTTTCCCTCACTCTGATTCATCCTTCATCATAAAGCACAGTCCAGAGCTTTCTCAATTCATAGTAATTTCTTCTTCCTTTCAATTTCCATAAGCACACTACCTATGCCAGTCACTTTTATTTATCATATATCTTCTCAGTTGGTGAATGTTTTGTTTTGTTTCTGAGTATGCATGTGAAATTAGGTACTATCTTCCTAAGCAGATTGTAAATGCTTTGAAGAGTGAACCCAGGACTTGTCTTTCCTTGTATCCTCCACAACTCAAAAATATTTGTTGCAGTTCCTGTCAGATGAGGCTGGTTGAGGCTAAAGACAATTATTAAATTACTCCTGTATTACTAGTACTACTACTACTTCATGGAATAAAATGAGCAAAGATATACAGAAGTGAAAGTAGGAGAAGTAGACTCTAAAGGTTTTTAAATCCTTACTAGAAAATGTTCTAAACTGTATTAAGCGTTAATTTTCCTGTTTGTCAGTATGAAGACCATCCATAATATAGATGAGATATTACACCCAGTCCATAATACTTAGTGTTAGGAAGCTCAGATTAACGTTCAAAGTAGAACGCTTGTAGTAAGAGCATGCTTTTTTTAAAAGCCACTAACTAATTATTGTAACAGAAATGCATGTTCACTTTAAACAACCTACATTAATTTTCCCGGCTGAAGACAAGATTTTTAGATGGGATATTTTTAAATGGTACATTTCTCTGAACAGCTTTACTTTGTTCCCTTAATTCCAAATATTGTCTATCTTGCTCCATGAACTTTTAACTTAGCAACTAAGTTTTGTTTGAACTCAAACGTGGTTATTACATAACTTTTCACTGGTTAAAGTGTGGAACTTTTGAAATCCGCAGCACTGTCAAAGAAGTTAAACTGTAATGGCCAAGATCAGTAATTTGGCATTTTTACACTTCATCGTTCAGCAAGAAGTTCCTTCGGACTCAAGTCACCTATGACATTTTGGCTCAAAAGTCACTTCCTCAATATCAATTCTCCGCTGTCAATTCCCCGTCTAAAACCTACACCCTCAGGACCCATGGTGTTGCAAATGGAAAGTAATCTATCGTCATTTACAGTAATCCATCACTCTACATATTACTGTCGAATCGATCAGGGGGGTTAAAAATGACGGCTATAAACGCCCTTCGACCAACTACACACTTTTGTCAACTCCAGCTTGACACGATGCCTGCAGCAGCCGTTCGTGTACTAAATGCACTGACTCAGAGCTACAAGTTCGGGGAGTAATCGGGTCAGAGATGGTCAGGAGACAAACAGGGCCCCGCCAAGAGATGGGGGTGGTACTTCGAGAATCTTCCAAACACCGAAATCAGGTGTTGTCTGAGGAGATCGTGCACACCTGACACTTGGCTGGTGCGGCTAACTAGACTGGAAGCAGGAGGGAGGCGCGCGCGCGCGCGCAGAGGGGCCCAGGCCAGCCCCCCAAGGCGCCCGAGTGCCACTCACCAGCAAGCAATCCGAATTCACTTCCGATTTGGGATCCCGCAGCAGGTTGTCGATTTTTTCAAACCGAGTCTCAAAGCTGTCCCCCGTCGACATGGTGCTGCCCCGGTGGCAATACCCTCGTCCCGGCAGCGGCGGCGGCGGAAAGCGATTTCACCCCACTTCCTCCGCGGGGGTTCGCAAGGCGTGGGGCGGCGGCGCCGGAACCGCCGGGTCACCAGGTGCGCCCGGGCCCCCTCACTGCAGGGATCTCCGCGCTGCAGACCCCGGGCTGGGCGCGACGGCGACCCGCAGCCGCTCGGACGCCCAAAGTCGCATCCCACCCGGCGGCGGCTCCTCCCGGCAGCCGACAGCGCCGTCGCCACCAGCCTCGTCACGCCGGCGGGGAGCTTCACCTAGCGGGCCCCGGCCGCCTTCGCCATGGAGGGCTCCCGGGCCCGGGCCGGGCAGGAGGGTGAGAGCGAGTGGAACAGGGTGGAGACTCCCTCCGGGCAGCAGGGGCGGGCGGAGAGGCGAGGGAGACGCGCAGGGCTGGCGAGGAGCAGTGCCAGCTGCCGCCGCCTGGGCCACCGGCCGGGCCCGCTCCGCTCCCAGGCACTCTAGCTCCGTATTCCCAGCACGGCCGGGCCCAGCCCGAGGTCCGGATCCCTCTCGGTCAACTGGTGGTCCCCGCGGGGCAGTCTCACGCTCTCATTTTGTCCCGACGCCGCGCGGGCTGCTGCTGTGGTGTCCGGCGGGGCAGGGCGAGGTCGGTGCCCGATGGGAGACGGAGGAAAGGCTGGACAGCGGGCGGTGAAGAAGACGAGAGTCCGGTCCCCGGCGGCAGCGGATGGGGGAGCTTCTGGGAGGGGCTGCAGTCGGAGCCGAGGAAAGGGCGAGTCGCGGCGGAGAATGCCTGGGGGGGGTGGGGCGAGGGGGCAGCAAGAGACTAATATGTCCGCCTTCCTGTTCAAACAAACGGAGACCGCGGGCGCGCACTGCGCATGCGGGGCGCGGAGGCTCGGAAGGGAAATCGGCCGGGAGCCCTGCGCGCGCACATCCGCGCGCACGCCGGAGACGGGCCTCGGTCGGCGGTTCCACAGTGGGGAGCGGGGACGCGCGGGCAGGCGGGCGAGCGCACGGCGGCGCGCAGCGGGGCGGAGCCGAGAGGGTGCAGCGAGCACCGGCCGCGCCTCCCCAGGGCTTCGGGCCCGCGCAGGAGCAGCCGGCAGATCCCAGCGGCGGTGGTGGTTTTGCATTCCCAAACACAAAAAAGACGCTTGTTATCCTTCTTATTATTCATGTCGGTCCTTTTCAAGGCAAGATAACTTTTGGCCGACAGGCACCAACATTTTGACCCTCTTGTGATTTTTTAAATTTATTTTGTCGTTGTTCTTTTGTGCCCCCTCAACCAGTTAAGTGGTCTAGGATTCAGTGAAAACATTACAAAGCAGTGCAATACCCAACCCTTGTACAAGCCGATCCTGTGCGTCAGGCAGGGAACCATGAAAATATTTACTTCTCAAGAAGTTCAATTTAATTTTAAAAAGGAAGAAGGAATTTCTTATGGAAAAAAAGTCAGTGTTTGTAAATCGTTCTTATTCTCACACACAATGAGAACTCTCACTACACTTCATATCTTGATGTGCAATGCTGCCATTTCAACTTCAAAAGATTGCCTGAAACTTGACATAGCTACTTTACCAAAGAACATACCAGAGATATACCATAAAAACCATAAACGTGGAAGTGAAGGAAGCAGAAAAGAGCCAGTGGGATCGGAAAAGGACGGGGAAATAGTGGGCATGGATCAATGACTGATAGTCTAAAGTGCAATGTATAGGAATGATGGTATGAAATACAGTATGAATGAAGGAATATGTGAAATACGAAGTATATGAATGGGGAGGGGAACCAACTTAAAATACTAAAAAATACTAACCAATGAACTAATTCTGTTTCTTCCTTGGCTGTGGTTTGTCAGGTGAAAGACTTGTTACTCAACCTCCTGGTAAAGTAACATTCTTCACTGCTTTCAACAGGGAGTTGACATTCATTAATTTAAAATCGATGTTTTTGCTCCTAAGTAAAATTAAAGAACTTTGGAAAAAGATAACACAAATATTTTACCCCACACTGAAAAAATGCTACAGAAGAACCAATTGTTCTCAATAAAGGGTGTGTAGCATCTGAATAGTCGGTCAACTTAATAGTGTGAGTCAGAGATTAGAAAAGTCTTGTTTGGAAAAAAAGGTCTATTTCTGTCTTTATTTTATTGGGTATCTAAAAAATATTTATGTATAAATTCCACTGTGTAATCGAGATAGGAAATAACTCCACAAAAATCATAGCAAAGATGACAACTAGACAAAATTCAGGTATTTCATTAAATGCCTTTACAATGACTTCTCTTGGCTCCAGTATTTTAAATTGGTCACGTGAATTAGATTTATTTTTAAGCATAGGTCTTAAAATAAGTCTGGCAGTTGCCCTAAAATAAATTGCTTAAGCCTACTTGTCCTTTTTTTATTACCATTTTTAGGTATTCTTAGGAATTTTGTTGTTTCTCAGAGAACTGAGACCTTTGTGTTGCTTTCCACTTGGGACCATATAAAAAAAAATGCAGGCATCTAAGATAGTAAACCAGTAGTACTGATGCACAAGGAGTCCTGGTGATGTAAGGTTTGGGCTGCAACACAACTGAATCCCACCATCTAAAGGAGAGAAATGAGGTGGGCTCCTCTCCTTAGATTTATCACCTCTGTGGAAACCAAATGGAGGGGTACTTTGAATTGGAATCAACCTGACAGTACTTTAGGTTTATTGATGTTTAAAAGAGCCCTGGTGGTATATTAAAGTATTCAAGTGCTAACTAACAGGTTGGTGGTTCAAAGTAGCCCCATGGGATGTTCAAGTCTACCCAGAAGCACCTTGAAAGAAAGGCCTAGTAATCTACTTCCAAAAACAGCCATTGAAAACCTTCCTGTAATAAACATAGAATTGTTACAGTTGGAGTGACTTGATGGCAAGCAGTTCACTGGTTATGTTAACCCTGTACAATCCTAATATAGACACAAAAGGAGTTTCAGAATTTTCCATGTAATCAACAGGATTTCATCCTCAAGGGAAAGAGGTGAAATGCTTTTAGCAAGATGTAGAGAATAAGATGGACTTTGATAGAAGAGCAAACTGGGGGGGGGGCAGGGAGAAAAATGCAACAAGTAATGAATGGAAATCCAAAGTCTCTGTAAATGTTCATTAAAATTAATTTTATATAATTGGCAGCATCAGTATGGATGGTGAAGAGATTGTTCACAGCTTTAGTTTGCTTGGCTCCACAGTCAACACTTTTGGCACCAGTAGCCAGGGAATTAAAAGACGTATTGTGATGGGAAAGTCTGCAGTTAGGGACCTTTCCAAAGTTCTGAAGAGCAATGGTGTCTCTCTGGAGACTAAGGTGCATCTGATACAGGCCATGGTCTTTGCAATCACTTGTTATGCATCAGAGAGTTTGACAATGACTAAGGAGGATAGAAGGAGAATTGATGTCTTTGAGCTGTGTTGCTGGAGAAGAGTATTGAGGGTACCATGGACTGCTAGGAAAACAAACAGATTCATCCTGGAGAGGGTTAAACCAGGTGGCTCCTTGGAGGCAAGGATTCTGAGGCTTTGTCTAACATACTTTGGACATGTTGTAAGGAGGAGAGGGACCGGTCCTTGGAGAGGGACATCATGCTTGGGAGGGTGGAGGGACAGCACAGGAGAGGAAGACCCTCTATGAGGTGGATTGATTCAGTGACTGGGGTAACTGGAATGGGTGTGCTGGAGGCAGTGCATTTGGCACAGGACAGAGCAGAGTTTAGGGCTATGTACATAGGGTCACTATGAGTCGCAAGCGACTTGACAGCACATAACAACAACATATATAGATATAGATATATAGATATATAGATATATAGATATATAGATATGCATGTTGTTGTTATGTGCTGTCAAGTCGCTTTGGCAATATTATATTTTGGCAATATTCAGTGACAATTGACTAGAGATTCTCAGATAGAATAGAGACCCAGTGACAGACCTTGAGGGAATTTTGTGAACTACACCAGGAAAATAAGAAGAATAAAGACAGTAAGTTTTTATAACATATACAATTTTAATTTAAACGAACTGTCCTAATATTCTATAGGCTCCTTTTTTAAAAACTTAGGTATACTTTCCTTTATGAAACAAAGATAGTAATAGATGGCATTTTTTTTTTAAATTTTAGGGTGGGCAACTATAAGCAAATACATAGATTAAATTGTGTCTTAATTTTCCAGTTTTGACATTTAAATATCTGAAAATATTTCTTTTAAGTGGGATTTATGGTAGGACTTAATGAGAAGATTATAGAGTGCTGAAAGACTGGATAAGACATATTTGGGAGAAAGTGGAGAAAAATCAGAAAGATTGAAGTATGAACTTCTGTGTAATGAAACACAATTAAGTTGAATGTTCCTGTGCTTTTTTGTTAGTAATAAATGGTCTTAGTTTGATGTTTATGGAATTTCTTTCATAAACATGGATATCATAACCAGCCTCTAAAGATGTTGCCTCCATGTCTTCTGGTATTCATTTCCTAGTGGAGGTCCTTTCACACTGAATCTGGGCTAAGGCCTTGGACCTGCTTTAACAAATTGAATACTGGGAAAGTGATAACATGCCAGTATCAGACCTAAGTTTTGAGAGAGCTTTGTGCTCTGTGAAGTCTGACTGAACTGAGATCAGCGTGGTGTAAGGAAACCACATGAAGAGCTCACATGAAAGATGATTGAGGAAGCCAGCAGACCTAAAAAACAGAGGTCCCAGATTTATGGCCCAAACCGAGTCACCCCAACATCCCCAGTCACTTGAAATATCCCAGATGTACAACATGGAATAGAGACAAGCTGATCCTTCCAAACACTGCCTACTCAACAGAATCATGAGCAAATAATACAATGGTTGTTATTTTAAGCCAATTAATGTTGGGATAGTCTGGCAAGCAATATACAAAACAGATTTCAAAAAAAGAAAATATTTGTGAGTAGAAATGCATTGGCAGCACCTTTCATACATTTTGTATATGACCCAAT